ACCAAGGGAGAGACAAGGTGGCCACTCTGTTGAGCATGGACGTCGCAGGCGCCTTTGACACAGTATCGCATCAACGGCTAATCCACAATTTGAGAAAGCGCAGGATTCCCCGGGTTATTACTAACTGGGTGGCAAGTTTCCTATCAAATAGGGCGTCTACACTCTCTATAGGTGACAAGATGTCGGAGAGGTTCGAAGTCCGAACAGGGATCCCCCAGGGCTCCCCTATCTCACCGATCTTGTACCTCTTTTATAATGCCGACCTTCTAGACATTTGCAATCGCCTGGGGCCTAAAGCGAGCGCCTTCGGCTTTGTCGACGACATCAACATCCTGGCGTTTAGCCGAAGCACTGAGGAGAACTGTAAATGCCTGGAAAAGCTGCACGATGAGTGCTCGCGCTGGGCACGCCGACATGGCGCTGTCTTTGCGCCGCAAAAATACGAGCTGATACATCTGACAAGAAACTCAAAGAAGTTTAATATGGAAGCGACAATTAAAGTAAACAACACCTTGATAACAACAAAATCAGACATTAGAGTACTAGGGCTACAGATCGACACTCAGCTAAAGTAGGGCCCTCACTGTAGGAAGATACAATAAAAGATGACGCAGCAGACGCTCGCACTCACAGCTATATCGACCTTTACCTAGGGAGCTTCTTTCCTACACGCGAGGCGCATTTATAACGCTGTAGTAAAACCGGCGATGACATACGCAGCAGCTATCTGGCATCTCCCTAATAAGCTACGTGGCACAAAGACGCTCACTACCAAACTCTCGCCAATCTAGAACAGGTGCCTACGCGTGATAGCCGGAGCCTACAAGGCCACGCCTATCCCAGTCCTAGAAGCGGAGACGCACATCCCGCCTCTTACGCAGCTCCTTGACGGCGCCCAGATGGATGCCCGCCACAGACTCACAAGCACAGGCATGAAAAAGCTTATCAACAAAAGCTGTCGTCAGATCGTCGACAAGCTCCACCCTCAGCGAGGACGCCCCCGCCTCGCGAGCATGACACCTGGAGACAAGAAACACGACTGGTACAAATGCCGCCTTCTCAAGCTTAAAGCAGAAACAAAATCGAGCTGCGCTCCGGAGCGTCACCCGCCTTGGGAAACCCTCCCACAAGAAGTTGCCACCGCACGCGCAGAAGCGTGGCAACAACGCCAATCTCACCGTCAATTAGTCAAAGCCTCACAGCTAGAGAACTGGCAGTCGTCATGGAACGCCTATCTAGCGACATCCCAGCGAGGTATTAGCGCCGCGCAAAGTGGGCAAATCAGTAAACGAAGACTAAGAGTACATCAGGGCTTAGCTAAGGCACAAAGCTCCCTTACTACACAGCTAAGGACTAACAAGATAGGCTTTGCAGACTTCCTCTTTAAACGGAAAGTTCCAAACATCACCTCACCAGCCTGCGAATACGGCTGGAGAAGACAGACTGCCCAACACGTGGTCATGGACTGCCTACTGCTTTCGGGCAGACACGACATGCTTGCCGCCGCTGGCACAACCGATTTCCGCCGTCTCCTCGACGACCCAAAGGCCATCAAGATAGTAACATTATGGCTGATGAAGGCTGGGGCCCTCCCCCAGTTCTCCTTCGCTGCTGAACAACTTTGTGCCTAACTCCTAACTGCAGTTACCGAGCCTTGTGCGCACCGTCGAAGCGCCCTAAAGCAGCCTCCTACCCACTGGCGGTAAGGTTTTTCCCCTGAAAAGGTTTCCTTATGGTGCGTTCGTTGTTCGAGAGCTTTAACCGCTCTCTATTATACATATCCCCCGCATGGACCAGCCCTAGGCTAGGACCACATCAGTGTAAAAATCAAATAAATAAATATATTAGATAAGCTAGCTTTATATATTTATAAATAAGCATAATAAATTATAAAATATATTCTTTTTTTTTATTTTAAGTTTATTAATTA